CTATTACCCCACGCAAGTGGAGCATGGATGTTAAGCAAGCTCAACTTGGAGAGTAAACTGTTGAATAAAGGTCCTGGAAGTGGCTTGGTTAAAAAATCTACCAACTGAGTTTTTGTGGAAGTATGATGTAGCTGAATCAATCCTTGTGCTATTTTCTCTCTTATGAGGTGGCAGTCCAATTCAATGTGTTTGGTTCTTTCATGGAACACTGGATTGGTGGCCATTGCTATAGCAGAACTACTATTTGTAAATACAGAGAGAGGTGTAGTAAGTGGAAAGTTTAACTCAGTATAGAGAGATGAAAGCTACTGTATTTTACATGATGTATAGGCTAGTGCTCTATACTCAGCCTCAGCAGATGATCTGCTTATGGTCGGCTGTTTTTTGGATTTCCAGGATATGAGAGAGTCCCCAAGAAATATTAAGTAACCAGTGACACTCCTTCTTGTATCAATACAAGAAGCCAATCACTGTAACAGAAAGCAGTAAGTTGTAGTTTAGAGGAGTTAGGAAAGAGTATACCTTGGCTAATGGAACCTTTAACATACCTGAGTACCCTTTGAGCAGAAATGAGATGTTGTTCAGTTGGTTTAGACATAAATTGGCTTAATGACTGAACAGAATATGCAATGTCTGGCCTGCTTATTGTTAGATATAATAATCTACCTACAAGCCTTCTGAACTCAGATGGATCAGTTAAAACAGAAGAGTTATCATATTTACTCAATTTCAAAGAGGTATTCATTGGACTTACAGCAGGTTTGCATGCAAGAAGACCAGTATCAGTGAGAATATCAAGGGCATATTTCCTTTGGCACATGTGAATTCCTTTATCAGAATGAGCAAATTCAAGACCTAATATGTACTTGAGTTTGCCTAAATCTTTGATGGTAAAGCAATCATCTAAATGATGTTTAATAGCATTGATTCTATCTATGTTGTTACCAGTCAAAATTATGTCATCAACATAGACAAGTAGTATAGTAATAGAACCAGAATCATGCATAAAGAATAGAGAACAATCTGCAATGGATTGGGTGAATCCATAAGATAATAAACAAGAAGTTAATTTTTGAAACCATTGCCTTGAGGCTTGTTTCAAACCATAGAGGCTTTTAGTCAATTTGCAAACCCTTGTTTCAGAACAAGAACAATAACCAGGAGGTAAAGACATATAAACTTCTTCATTGAGATCACCATGTAAAAATGCATTATTTACATCTAATTGATGAATGTGCCATTTATTTAAAGAAGCTAAAGCAACAAGAAATCTTACAGTGGTAATTTTGGCCACAGGAGAGAAAGTATCAAAGAAATCAATACCTTCCTCTTGTGTATATCCTTTTGCAACCAACCTGGCTTTGTACCTTTCAATAAAACCATCAGATCTATATTTAATTTTAAATACCCATTTACAACCTATACAGTGCTTGCCCTTAGGTAAATCAGTAAGAACCCAAGTATTAGTTTGCTCTAAGGCTTTTAATTCCTTGTTCATGGCTTCTTGCCATAAAGGATCCTTAGCAGCATGTTTGAAAGTTTTGGGTTTAGTTTTAGAAGATATTATTGCAGTAAAGCAACTATGGGCAGTAGAAAGCCTGTTGGTTGATAAAAAATCAGATATGGGGTAAGGAGATGTCCCAGGAATGTCTGATGTACAATCTGAAATGCAAGAGGTTGTGTGAGAGTTCAAGGAATGTTTATAAACACTAAGATAAGCAGGAATTTTTGTGGTCCTTGTTGATTTTCTTCTGACAGGTGATGAGTCAGAGGGAGTGATAGTATTAGAAGGTGAAATAGGATGAGATGATTGTGTATGTATGGGTTGAATTGCCACAGGTGATGAAGGCTGTGAAGAATGAATAGAATGTGGTGATGTAGTGGCATGGGAATGAAATGGAGATGATCCAGAAGACTGTGTTGTGATATGGGAATATGTGGTTTGTCAAAAATACATTGTGATTCAGGTTGAGGAGAAAGGGAAGTGGGTAATGTAGGTGTAGATGAGTTAGCAAAAGGAAAAACAGTTTCATAAAAGATGACATTCCTGGATATTAATGTCTTCTTGGTATCCAGGTTGTAAAGTTTATACCTTTTACAACCTAGAGGATAACCAAGAAATATACACTTGGATGCTCTTGGGTCAAATTTATGTCTGTTTGCTACTAAGGTAGAACTGTAGCATAAGCAGCCTATAACCTTCATGTGGTCATATGAGGCTGGTTTGTTAAAAAGCATTTCAAATGGAGATTTATTGTTTAAAACAGGGGTGGGGATTCTGTTTATTATGTGTGCAGCAGCAAGTACACAGTCAATCCAAAAACACAAGGGTAGATGAGCATGAAAAAGTAAAGCCCTAGCAACTTGTAATAGATGCTGATGTTTTCTTTCTACCCTTGCATTTTGTTGAGGGGTTTCAACACATGATGTTTGATGAATAGTGCCATGATCAGTATAAAATTGTTTAAGTAAGAATTCAGATCCATTATCAGATCTGATGACTTGGATTTTCTTTTCAAATTGAGTGAACACCAGATTATAAAAATGTTGCAGATGGTGTTTGACATCAGATTTTAAAATAGTAGGGTAAATCCAAGTCAGTCTGCTGTAGTCATCAACAATGGTTAAAAAATATTTGTGCCCTGAATATGAGGGGGTTGTAAAAGGGCCCCAGACATCACAATGAATTAATTGAAAAGGAGAGGTAGAATGAGATATGCTTTCAGAAAATGGAAGTCTTTTCTGTCTAGAGAAATGACATACATCACAGGGAGATATAGGTTTGATAATGTTTGAACAGTTAGGTAAAGTTTGAAGTTTAGAAAAAGATAAATGTCCTAGCCTGTAATGCCATATGGAATTATCATGAGTGTGTGTGAGAACAGGTGAGGGATTTACATGTAATGGGGATTTATCAGAAAAGGTAAGGGTTACATTGGAGGAGGTTACAGAGAAATGAGAGTTTACATATAAATTGGATACATGGTTTTGAAGATCAGAGTGAAATTTTTTGGAACTATCTAAGTTGAGATGATATAAACCATCTTTAAGATCAGCAAAACCAATCACTTTCTGGTTTGAGAGATCCTGTAATATGCAAGAAGAGGACAAGAACTTGACAATGCAATTATTTGTTGCAGCAAGCTTAGAGACAGAGATTAGGTTAAATGAGAATGAAGGCACAAACAATGCATCATATAACATCAACGAATCAGCAAGTTTGACATGACCACTATGAGATGCAACAGTGTGATTACCATTGGGTAAATTGATTTTTGTAGTAACAGGAGTAGCAGTTGTGGTATAAAAATCAGGTGTGTACAGCATATGGTCAGTTGCCCCAGTATCAAGTATCCATGCATTCTTAGATAAATGTCTAGTTGCCATGCATATAAGGGGATTAAACATACCTGATTGCCCAGCAAAGGCAGTTGCAACCACAAGAGTATTTGATTTATTATGAGACTGCTCCTGTGATTTCTTAAAGTCTATGAACTCATTAAACAAACGGTCAGTCATGGAAGATGCATCAACAATAGTATCATTTTGAGGATTTTTAGACTCAGAAATAGTGGCATTGGCAGAGTGTTTATGTTGGGGCTTGGGGCCACGGTTTACATTCCAAATGAGCAGGGTAGCCAATAATTTGATAGCATTTTTCAACAGTGTGACCAAGATGTCCACAATGAGTACATTTTGGGCGGTTTTTGTCATTTGAGGAGTTTGATTTGGGTGGTCTAGTGTATGATGATTTCTGGGTGAATTGGTTTTGGGAATATGATGTTTTGGCTAGTATAGCAAGTGGTTCAGACAGTTTAGTGGTGTTAGACAATGATCTCTGGCTTTCTTCTTGAAGGAGAAGGGAATATACAGTAGCAAGAGAGGGTAACGGGGTAGACAGTAGAAAGTGACTGCGAAGGGAAGTATATGACTCATTTAACCCTATTAAGAACTTCATCACAGAATCATGATTTTGTGCAGCAGCCATGGCTTCAAAGATTTTAAAAGTACAATTATTACAAGCACCACAAACACATTGGAATATGGGACGATAAGTGACATATTCATCCCAGAGGGATTTGAAAGTATTATAATATTGTGTCACAGTCAGAGCACCTTGATCCATTGTTCTTAAGGACCTCTCAAGATGAAAAACCCTAGGTCCACTAGATAAGGCATAGCGAGATTTCAACTCATCCCATGCATCTTGTGCAACAGTAAAAAACAACAATGATTGTCGAATATCTTTATTCACAGAATTCAAAAGCCAAGACAGCACAAGATTATTAGATCTGATCCATGCTAAAGCCAAATTAGGGTTTTGAGTCGGGTTTGGGGCAGAAATTGTACCGTCTATGAAACCGAGTTTGTTTTTTACACTGAGTGCCATGGATACCGCCCGTGACCAGGAGACGTAATTGTCGCCGTTGAAGAGTTCGGCTACAATCAGAGCACCGGGATTATCGCTCGGGTGCAGGTAGAATGGCGATGTAGGATCTTCGCTTGGATTTGCGGTTGACGCCATAATCAGATACAGAACGATCGAGTAAGAACAGATCGAGATATCGAACAAAAATCAATCGAAAATCAACAGACCGAACAGAAATCGATCGAAAAACAACAAAAAACAGAAAATCGTTGGGACAAAACGATTCAAAACATCATAGATGCAACGAAAAATCACAGGAATCGCAAGATGGCGAATGATACCATATTAGAACATAAAGAACACACGGTATAGAGAGAAGAAAAGAAAGCTTTTGATATTCAGATGAAAAGGAAGAAAAATGAAATATCGTCCTCAATTTAGGGTTTGATCCCTATTTATTATATGAGTACTACTACAATGGAAGTGTTACTTACTAAATAACACTTTTACATATAAAGATAAGATACAACTCATAAAGCTAAATGTACAACTAATTATTACAACTATATGTATACTCTATTAGTATCTAGACACTCTGCCCTATATATATTATACATAGAAGAAAATACAATTAGAAGAGTGTGGAACATTTGGAAGTGGTGGGGTCGTATATGGCAGGGAGCAAGTACTTGCGGCCGTTGGCGCCATGGGCATTGTAGCTGGCCCCTGTGGTTGGGTCCACCAATAAGTCCCCCGCGTAGCCCGGGTAGGCCCCTTTCCCGTAAACTCCAGGGCAAGCGGATGCGGCTTCCAGCGGGGCCTCGGCCGAGCCCTGATAGTAGCCATTCCCGAAGGGATTAGTGGCGGTGCCCGCGAGAAGCCCACTCAAGCTCATGACTATACCGTCGAGGCCCACGTCGTTGTTGGGCGGCACCAATGGTGGGCTCTGTGGGCCGTAAGTGGGCTGGTGGAAAGGCCAGGCGCAGTACCCGGGGCACTGGGTCTCCGAGTTGCCCACCCATATGTAGGCTAACTCTTGGGGCCGGAGACACTGCTGGAGCCGTGGGTCCCGCAGCGGTTGAGGCAGAAGCCGTTGACGGTGACGTCGCTCGCCGTTAGAATGACATTGACGGAGTTGGAGTGGTCGCCCCTGGATGCCAGCTGGACGATGTGTTTGTCGGAGAGGGACTTACCGAGGGAGTAGTCTTCGTCAAGGATCTGCCGGCCGAGGCGGATGGAGAGGGAGTTGGGTCTTCCGGCGAGGTGGTAGTACTTCTCCACCGTCCTCCACCACGCGCCGACGGACTGCTGGTTCCCGGACGGATCCGACACGGAGGTAATGAAATCAGCCACAATGGCCCGCTGTGAGGGGGTGAATTTTCCATACCAGATGAGATTGACGGCGATTTTTCCGCGGAGGAGCGCGCCCTTGTGGTAGCGGAGGAGCTGCTGCTGCTGCTCCTGTGGATTTCCGGCACCACTCGTGATGCTCCTAGAAGCAGAGCAGGAGAGGCTCAATAGAAAAGTTAAAACTAGTAATTTCACGACCAAACAAGATGAAGAAGCCATATTTTCTGCTATTTTATTCTTTTTTCTTCTCTTAGAATTGTATTGAAGGTAGGAGAGGAAGCTGATGAGATTGGTTGCGTTTAGTAAGGAAAAGGAAAAGAGTTAAGAGGGTATTTATAGTATTAGGTTTTATTTTATTAAAAGTGGGTGGATTTGGGGTGGGTTGGGGCCATTGGAAAGAATAAAAGTGAGACGCGGTTTTTGATGTTATTCCAAAAG